AGGACACTCGCCCTAAAGCAGAGAGGCACTGTCTGGTTTCAGTCTGAGCTGGCTCTTCCTGTCCCCACTCTCCCTCCGTTCCCCCCTCCCCATCATGGCACTTCCTCATGACCCCACAAACTCCAGCCCTGAGGAGCCTTCAGCTTCCTCTGCCACCCTTCCCACACTTGATCTCGGAATAAATACCCTGATACACACATCTTACATGGACCTGCCCTGCTCCAAAACCTTCTCTGGCTCCCCACTGCCCCAAGACAAAATCCACATGCCTTATCTTGGCCTTCAAGCCTTTCACAGGCAGACCCTGCCCACTGTTGAGCCTTTTCACCTCTGTTCTCCCCATGCACCAACCCATGGCCAATGGGCCACACAGGTCACTGAGTTAGGCAGTGTCACAAACAACCTTCATTCTCCCTCATCCTCTGTGTGGCACTGATGTCGATTTCCTCAGATCTAACTTTCTTTTTCCTTTTGAGACGGAGTCTCGCTCTGTCACCCAGGCTGGAATGCAATGGTGCGATCTTGGCTTACTGCAACCTCTGCCTCCCTGGGTTCAAGCAATTCTCCTGCCTCAGACTCCCAAGTAGCTGGGATTACAGGGGTATACCACCATGCCCGGCTAATTTTTGTATTTTTAGTAGAGCCAGGGTTTCACCATGTTGGTCAGGCTGGTCTCGAACTCCTGACTTCGGGATCCGCCCACCTTGGCCTCCCAAAGTGCTGGGATTACAGGCATGAGCCACTGCACCCAGCCTGCTCTATTAATTTGGAATTTGAGTTTGTCTGCAGTGACGATTGTCCCCTGTGTCCCATGCAGGCTCTGCATCATGAAGAATTCCCTAAGGAATGGTCTGGGATTTGCTTCTGCTGGGGTCCCTGGAAATATAGGGGGGGGCCTCCGTGGGGAAGGAATTAGAAGGCCCAGGCCTGTATGCAGCAGAGGCTGGAACTAGGCTCTCTCCATCAAGCTAGAGCCAGGTGGGAAATGTCCGTTCTTGAAAGGGAACTCCACCAGAAAACTACCCACCAGCGTGGGGACACAGCTTGGAATCAGGGAGCTTGGCTGGAAATGGAACCACCATGCTTGGAATGCAGAAGCCCCAGGCCTGGAAACTGAGCCAGACTGGTGCTCCTTTGCTGAATCTGGACGACGTGTTATTACGGAAGTTGGTTGGGCTATTCTCACCGTTTTTTATGTATGTTTAAAATTTTTCGTGATAAAAATGTTTATATTAAAAATACTGCGACAAGCTTCGAAGACATTTCTCTGGTCCCTAAACACTCTGCACCACTTGGCTTCGATTCTAGCTCCTACTCCATTTTCTGAGTTCAGCTCTCTGCTTCTGGCATCTGGGAATTTCCCTGCTAGCTTTAGCTGTCAAGCTTAGCTTTGTAATTTAAACATGTTTTCTTGGCATATTTTATCTAGCTTGGAGGGGAAAGGAGGGCTTCACACATTTACTCGATCTCGCACGCTGACTACAAACTCTCACTCATCTTTCAAAGCCTCATTCTGATGTCTCCTCCTCGAGGACGAATTCTCCACCTGCCACCTGCCAGGGCGAGGCGCACGCTCTCTGCCATCCACCAGGCTCCCACAGTCCCCCTGTGCCCGGGTGGTGACTTGATGATACATTTTCTGCCCCCGTAGCTAGAGGGAATCTACCTAAGGGCAGGAACTGAGTCTGGGCAGAGCCCAGCACACAGCCTGCCAAGCAGTAGCTTCAGTGGCAGCTGCCTCTTTAGGTATAGGTCATGGCGGTTCCTGATTTCCCAAAACAGCAAAGCCTATGAGCCGTAATTTTTTTTTTTTTTTTTTTGAGATGGAGTCTCATTCTGTCACCCAGACTGGAGTGCAGTGGTGCAATCTCAGCTCACTGCAACCTCTGCCTCCTAGGTTCCAGCGATTCTCCTGCCTCAGCCTCCTGAGTAGCTGGGATTGCAGACACATACCACCAGGCCCAGCTAATTTTTGTGTTTTTTTAGTAAGAGACGGGGTTTCACCATATTGGCCAGGCTGGTCTCACACTCTTGACCTTGCTATCTGCCCGCCTTGGACTCCCAAAGTGCTGGGATTGCAGATGTGAGCCACCACACCCAGCCTTTTTTTTTTTTTTTTTTTTTTTTGAGATGGAGTCTTGTTCTGCCACCTGGCATGATCTTGGTTCACCAGAATCTCCACCTCCTGCTTCAAGTAATTCCCCTGCCTCAGCCTCCTGAGTAGCTAGGATTACAGGTGCCAAGCACCACACCTGGCTAATTTTTGTATTTTTAGTAGAGACAGGGTTTCACCATGTTGGCCATACTGGTCTCGAACTCCTGACCTCAGATGATCCACCTGACTCGGCCTCCCAAAGTGCTGGGATTACAGGCATGAGCCACTGCACCTGGCCCGTGAGCTGTAATTCTGCTGTGGGCTTTCACAGAGGCTGAGCTATGACTCCTGCAGGCACCTCAGGGGCCAGGCTCCAGCTAGCGGCAGTCTCATCTGCAAAGGGGCCACTGAAAGTGGGCGGTCCTCAGCAGTTTTCACACTTGGTCCCAGAGGGGAGGCAGCAGGAGCAAGCCCAGGCCTACCCCTGAGCCACCCCCTCCCTGTCTCCTGGCCCTGCAGCCCCTGGTGCCCACAAATAAGCAGGCAGCCCAGCTCTCAGCCCCGGCCCTTTGATCTGGGCAAGCACCAACACCTGGCTGGCGCCCTCCACCTGGCTCCGACCTTATCGGGCTTGGGGAAGGCACAGATGCCTGGGACACAGGCCAATTAGGTGACTTGCCTAGTTGTCCACTGAGTCACATCCTGGTCTACTCGAATGGCATCTTGGCTCAGGTGGCCGAAGGGGTGAGGACACCCTAGAGAGCCATCCCAGCTATCCTGGGGCAGGTGACAGGTGAGGGTCATCATGCACAGACTGACTAGAGGGTCCCTGAGGATGCTGAGAGCTCTCACCACAGCCCAGAGGCACCCACCCTGGGGACACTGAGATGCCAGACACCCAGACCATGCAGGCCAGTGGGCAGGAGAGGCAGAGGACAGGTCCCGCTTCTGGGCTGGCTGCTGTCCACCGTGAGCCCTCAAGCAAGTGGCTTCCCTGTCTTGGCCTTTGTCCCTGTCTCTGATAAGTGAAGCTGACGAAGGGAACCTGCAGGGTTACCGGAAGAATCAAACAAGATGACGCGTGGCGTGCCCTGTCCACCTCTGGCCAGGTCACCGGGATGAATAGGAACTGTGTGAATTCTCTTTCATGAGCCCAAGAAGCCAGCCAAGGACAGAGCCACAAAAAGAACCAGGGAACCCTCACAGCTGCCTTGAGCCAAGCCCCATGACCCTCCCTACCATTCCCTGTACCTCCCACCCCTCCCCGTCCCTGGGCTGTGCTGGCCCCGACCATGCTCAATGGGCATTAAATGGAAGATGCTTGGGGTAAAACCTTACTCCAGATGAGGCAGTGAGGCCGGGACTAGGAGGGAGATGGGGCTCAGGCCAGGTCCCCAGTGAGTCAGGGGCCATGCAGGGCAGGGGTTGGGCATCAAGGCCTTCTCCACCCTTTCCTCACCAGCCTGGCAGCCCACTCCTTCCCATGCGCCCGTGTGCCCGGAACTCCGTTTCCCAGCCAAAGTGCTGGTCACTGCATGCGCACAGCCCAGAGGGGGCCACAGGAACCTGTCTCGGGGACAGGGTAGGCAGACTTATTCTGGCCTAGCCAGGGAGGCCCAGGAAGAGGTGGGGGAGGGGTCGGGCTCATGGCCTGGGAAGAGGTGATGTCTGCCAGGGCAGGGACCTGGACACCCACAGGGGACACTGGACCATACAGCCTTGCCCCATCCTAGCACAGTCCAGTCTCACGTGAGCCCCGGAACCATTGCATCCCCTCTCTCTGAGCCCTGAAGTCCCCATCTGGGCTATGGGGACAGCTAGGAGGGGGCGGTGAGTGGCTGTGGCACTCTGAGCTCAGGAGGCATTGTGCATACTGGAATGCCACTTAGACAGGTCAGGCAGGTTCCTGGGCAGAGCCAGCTCACTGCACCCCTCCCTCCCAGGAGGGCCCAGGAGGGGAAGCATTCACCAACTGGAATGCAGACCACAGGGACCTTACGCTACATCTGACTGGGCCTCCAACCCGGATGGACTCTGGGACCAAGGGCCCAGAAAAGGCAGGGCCCAGGCTGGGGCCACACAGCACCCCCAGGGCAGAGTCAGGACCAGCCTCCTGCCCCAGCCCTGGGTTGCAGGACTGGCTGGAGTCTCTGCCCGGCCTGAGGGGTGTTGCTGAGGGCAAAGCCAACGAGGCCAGAGGGCCAGGAGCCCAGCTCCGCCGGGACCATGCCTCGGCAAGGGCAGGGACAGGGAGGCACATTCCCGGAGGGAGGTCCTGGGAGGCTGCCGTAACTGCTCCATGGCCTCCCACACTGTCCCATCAGAAGCCCATCAGAAGCCTGGGCCCTACAGGAGAGGGTGGCAGGGAACTTCAGGCCCACGGCCAGTCCAGGGCCGATTCTCAGGCGCCTGCCCCGGGCTTGGGAACTGCTCTCGGGCTGACTAGGTGGAGTCTCCTGCTCATCACCTAAGAGGTGATTCCCAGGGTGGATGATAATGGAAGGAGTGTGGGGGAGGACAGGAGATAAAAACAGGGTCACCATGGCTCTGTTGGCACTGCCCAACTTACTGACTTAAGGAGCTCCCTACACCAGCATCAGGATAGATCCCGGATCACTGAGTCCCGATGAGGCCCCAGGACCCAGAGGAAGGGTCACCTCGCAACCTTGATCCTTGACCTGCATCCCCGTATCTGCCCTCGGGGCAGGTATTACTCATTTTAGGCTCAGAGACACGTTGCCATTGGCAGGCGACAACATTGGGATTGGGGGACAAAGCCCACTCTCTTTCCAGGAGTCAGCACCGGCGAAGAGAAACCGGGGTGGGGTGGGGGGCAGAGGACGGCCAACAGGACAGGACCCATGACGCCAGCGCCTGGGCGGAGGAAGGTAGGGGTGGGCCTCACCTGACTGCAGCAAGCCGGCGCCTCGGTCCTTGACCCCAAAGTGCTGCTGGATGTCCAGAAGGACGCCTGGAGGGAGACAGAGTGTGCTCACTGGCCGAGTCTGATGCCTGGTGTCCCCAAGCCCAGCCCAGCCTCTTTCCTGCCCTGCAGGGCCCAGCCTGCCCCCATCTGCAGATCTCCTGCTCTGCTACGACCTCCACCCTGCCCAGGTTTGCCAGGCTTGCCTCCCGCCCCGCAGGGGCCTCCTGTCACCAGCCCGTCCCCATCACTCGCAAAGGCCCGAGGGGCAGACACAGGCAGCGCTTGTCTGTGGTTATTCTGCCCCATGGGCAACTATGCCTCCTATCTGCCAGCCTGGGCCTCCTCCCTACCTGCAGCCCAGGCCTGGGTCAGTGCAACAGACGCCGGCCTTTCCCTCCGGGTCCATGACCTAGAGAGCAGCGGGGGGCCTGAAAGCTGCAGGGAGCCCTCTGGCCTGGGAGGGAGCAGCCACACTCACTCTGGTTCAGCTGCTCATGCACACACACACCCACACACACATGCACACACAAGCACATGTGCACACACGCGCGCGCACATGCACACACGTATACGCACACGCACGCACACACATGCACATGTGCGCACACACGCGCACACATGCACACACACCTATACGCACACGCACGCACACATGCACGCTCACACACACACGCTCTCACCTCTGCTGCTCTCAGGATTGTGTAACTGGGCCCTCCCATTATCAGACACAGGGTCTGGGGATACAGAGGGTAGTGGGTGGGGCTTCAGGCCTGATTTCTGGGGAGAAGTGGATTCCTGAGGCTGAACCTGCTCCCAAGCCCAACTACTTTAAGGCTTTGCATGTCACGGGATGCGGGCAGCAGCTAGACCACCTAGAAACCACCCACAGCTGCCGACTGACTGACAGAGCCATAGCTTGACGGCAGGAAGGCAGGGTCCGGGACCCTCCACCCCTCACAGCACCCAGCGAGGGCTTCTGAGTAAGTACAACCCGCAGCACTGCAAGGCCTTGGGGTCCCCACCTGCACTTCCCTCCCAGGACAGCAGGACCCAGGCCACAGGTCAGAGCCCCCCTGACCACAGCACGTCTGCAGTGAGAAGGGACAGGGGAGGAAGGAGGAGATGGCTCTGCCCTTGGGGACTCCCCAGGCTGGGACAGAGGCCTCTGGGGGACTGCAGAGCTCTCCATCATGATGATGATGATGGCAGCATTCAACAGAGGATGGTTTGCCTAACTGACCATTAAATGCCTGTTTAATCCTCATTCAGCCCCAAGATGCTGGTACCAGTATCCGAGTTGACAGATAAGGAAACTGGAGCATAGGAAATTAAGCCATGGGCTCAAAGCCAAGCCCCAGGGAAGCAGGAAAGAGTGGAATCTCCGAGCACTGTATGAGGGTCCCGCTGGCAGCTAGGACGGAGGGTGCAGAAGAATTGGGGAGGCTGGAATGTCACCATCCCTCCCGAGACCCAGGTTGGGATGCTGAGCGATTTCCTGGAAGGCAGGACCACATGGGCTGATGTCCTAGCAGCCTGACAGCCCCGAGAAGCTGTTTCCTCGTTAATGTCCTGAGTGGATTGACCATATTTACCCAGGATGAAGAGACTGTGAGAGGCCCAGTTAATGACTTAATTACCAAGGCAGGCTGTGACTTTGTCTTGACGGTGGAAGCCGGGGCCAGTCCTAGGCCTGTGGATGGCAGGGCCAGCGAGAGGGACCTCTGAGGTGTCCTGCCCCAGCCCCAGGGGCTCACCATCCCACAACCCATTCCTTTCTGAGTCAGGACCTCTGTTGCCCCTCCTGACATGTGGCTTTGATCCCGTCACTCCGTGGCATAGTCACTGTCATCTGGGGCTCCCCCACGCCCAGGCCCTTCACCAGACCACAGGGTGCTGGTGTGGCCCTGCCAGCCCTGCCCTCTGCCTCCCTTCTCAGGATACCGCCCCTCCATTAGCCGCCCCAAACTCCTCATGGCCCCCTGACTCCACATACGTCCCCTTCTTTTTCTGAGACAGAGTCTCACTCTGCTACCTAGGCTGGAGTGCAGCGGCTCGATCTCTGCTCACTACAACCTCCACCTCCCAGGTTCAACCGATTCTCTAGCCTCAACCTCCCGAGTAGCTGGGATTAGAGGCACGGGCCACTATGCCCAGCTAATTTTTGTATCTTTAGTAGAGACGAGGTTTCACCATGTTGGCCAGGCTGGTCTCGAACTCCTGACCTCAGATAATCCACCTGCCTCAGCTTCCCAGAGTGCTGGGATTACTGGAGTGAGCCACCGCACCTGGCCCACACCTCCTCTTCTATTCTTGTATGACTTCATCAACTGGGCTCACTCCTGCCACTCCTCTGAGGCCAGATCAGATGCCTGATGTTCTGGGACATCTTCCCTGGTTGCTCCCCTCCCACCACTCTCTATATAAGTTACTTTCCTCCACTCTCCCCCGTCCAAACTCATTTTAGCACTGGGCCCACCAGCATGAGTGAGTTCTATGGGGAATGCATGCAGGAGCGTGGGTTTGAGCGCCTCCTGAGGCCAGGAGCTAAGAACCACTAGTTACTGCTGCCTGCAAAGTTCCAAGGAACTGTGTGAGGTTTTGAAGATGGTACAGATGCCGGCCTCACTTTCTGTGCTGGTATTTGTGATTCTCATCCCATTTTATTTTGGAAGAAACCAAGGCTCTGAGACGTGAAGTCATTTGTCACCCAGCACATTCTGTTTTGGAGTGAGATCTGAAACCAGGTCGATGGCCAAAAACCAAAGCTTGTTCTCCTGCCACGCTGCCTTCTGCGTGGTTTGCTGGTGTCCTCCAGGGCCCAGCACGCACGTGGCCCACAGGAACTTCGCACATGGGTGTATGTGGCCTCATCCTCCACTAGACCACAAGCAAGGCAGGGCCATGGCAGGTCATCTCCAGGACTCAGACCAGGGACTGTCACGATTTTGGTGTTGGGTGGACAGAAGGATGGGCAGAGTCAGGAGGAGGCAGGAGGGTCCCCATCCATAGGCCAGGGGAGGGACATGGGTCTGCAGGTTCTGTGTCTGGGAGGGAGGCCATATCAAATAGCCATTATGGGCTGAATGTGGTGGCTCATGCCTGTGATCCCAGCACTCTGGGAGGCCGAGGCGGGTGGATCACCTGAGGTCAGGAGTTCAAGACCAGCCTGGCCAACATAGTGAAACTGCCTCTACTAAAAATACAAAAAATTAGCTGGGCATGGTGGTGGGTGCCTGTAGTCCCAGCTACTTGGGAAGCTGAGGCAGGAGTATCGCTTGAACCCAGGAGGCAGAGATTGCAGCAAGCCGAGATCACACCACTGCACTCCAGCCTGGGTGACAGAGCAAGACTCTGTCTCAAAAATATATATGCATATATATATAGCCATCATGACCACGTTCTGTGGTGCACGACAAATCAAAACACTCGTTTCCTCCCTGCAGCACATCCCAGCCATCCAACTGCACACACTTCCCCACCTGATGACTTCAAGGTCCAGCATTTGCCTCTGCCTCCAGGAAGCCTTCTGACTTCCTCTACCACATAGAGCTCCTGGTAGAGGGAGGAACATTCCTCCACATCCAGATGGGCACCTAAGGTCTCTGGGAAGTCCTGGGCAGTTCCCAGGACACAGGAAGCTGTGGATAACACGGCCTGTCCCCACCCCACCACTCCCCAGATCCCGGCCTTGGGTCCAAGGCCAAGCTCCAGGAAAAAGACCAGAGAGAGCCTTCTCAGGGAGCAGGGCTTCCTGCAGGCTGAGAGGCCCAAGGTCGGACCTGGTCTCAGCCTTTCTGGCTTGCTTTCCCTCTTCCAGGCCTGGAAGCGGCCTCAGCCACAGGAGGGTGAGAATCCTGCTGGCCGCTGGCACGGGAAGCGTGTGTCACAGCAGCTCGGACGTCGCCTCAGATTTTCCTCTGGGCTCCAGCACCCTCCCTTCTTCACCACAGCCTTATTTTTAGCCTCTTTCCTGAAGGCTGAGGTTTGGTGGGTCACAGGACGGGCCTCACGCCCAGGAACAGCCTCCCACAGCTGGGGCCAAGCCTACCTCGCCAGCTCCGGAACAGGCAAGGGGGGGGTTCCCACCCCAGATGCAGACCCCAGCCAACACAGCCACAGTGCGGGCCTCTCCAGGCGGCACCCCAAATCCACAGCCAGAATCGTCCCCTGGCCACAGAGTCCTCATCGCCCAAGAACACGGGAGTGCCTGAGTCTTCTCATCCAATGACAGCGGTTACATACCTCCCAAGCCCCGGGAGGCATCACCTCTTGTCTGAGGCCAGTGTCCCCTACTCTGGGCCAACTGTCTCTGTCACCTGGCAGGGATGTGGCACTGGGCCACTCCCTGGCTTGGGCCAGTGCATTCAGCCTCTCCCTGGCTTCCAGCTCCTGCACAGCGGCCCACACATGTGCCCATACCTCCCTCGTCCTGGTGGTGAGAACAGCTGCCTTCTCCCCTCCCCTCCTTTCACAGGTGATGGTATTTGTTGTCGCTTTGAGCAGGGTCTTGCTCTCTGACCCAGGCTAAGGTGCAGTGACACAATCACAGCTCTCTGCAGCCTTGGCCTTTTGGGCTCCAGCCATCCTCCTGCCTCAGCCTCCTGAGTAGCTGGGACCACAGTCATGTACCACCACACCGGGCAGAGAAGTTCTTAAGAGTTCTTTCCCCTTCCCAACTCAATATCCTCACCCGCTTTCCTCCTCCGAAACCAGCCACTTCCTGGAGACTCAACCCCCAGATGCTCTCATCCCATTTCCCAGACCCCTGACTCTGATTCCCCAGCTCACCACTGGGTCCCCATTCCCTGAGACACTGCAGGACCCTAAGAGTCAGCTGTATTCTCCATCTGCTTCGTCGCCCGCCATCCTCCCTGGGCTCCCTGCCTCCAGCCCCTGCCAGCCGGCCAGCCTGCCTCTGGCCCCTGCCTCCCTCCCACTGCCTGACCTCACAAGCTCTTACAAATCTCCTACTGGGTTCTAGGTCCTGGCCTTGGGCTCCAGAGGCCACAAGAGCATTCCTGGACTCACAGAACTAGCACTGTGAC